TATTTGAACTTTTCCGTCTTTGATGTTATTTAAGGCATTATTGATAAAAAGTTGTTAGCCACTCAGTTCTATAGTATTTTCATTTGGTGTACTATAAATTTAGTTTATAAGCTGTGACTAACAGGTGCAAATGTTGAGATCAAGGTGGTAGAAGTTTGGAGTCATTTATTTATTTCAAAGTGCAATTTTTTCTTTTTTTATCCAACTGCATGTATCTTGTTGTCTCAGGGTAATTCAATGCTTGTACTTTATTCATGTTTTGTAGTTTCACATTCTCCATCTACCTAATGCTTAAGTGCTGCATTGTAAATCACAAGAGGCATTAAATTTAATCCCCTCAGTTTTCAGRCGTCTTCTGTATGCCTGGCTTTTTGCCGCTGCTTTCTTATTTCGTTTATTGTTGCCATGGCAATAAATGGAATATGAATGCAGATGATTATCTGCGTACTCGTTGTATGTGTAACAGATGATTACCTGAAATTAGGTTTTCGGCGTGCCATGTAACAATTAAGAAAATCTGATTTGTTGACTGCCAGTTGTTTTAATTCTCTTTCCCCCACTGTCTGTGTGCAGGAGCAGAGCCCCAGTAACGCCACATCCCTGGCCATGATGCAGGAGCCGCAGGAGGTGGTGGAGGAAACGGTCACCATAGAGGAGGACCCTGGCACTCCCACCTCCCATGTCTCAGTGGTCACCTCTGATGATGGAACCACGCGGCGCACAGAGACCAAGGTYTGACAGACAGATGTTCTCCAATTAGATAATAGTTTCTTAAATACAGTATACTGCTTGTAGAAGTTGTTTTTCGCATTAGATTGGTTGTTAAAAGCATTCATCTTCAAAATGAAACAGAAAATTTATCTATGATTCCAAATGTCTATCTTTAGGAACTTACATTATCACACTGCCAAAATAGTTTTTATCTCTGTCTCATAGTTTTTAAAAATATTTGTCTAAATCAATATTATTAGCTATCTTCCTTCCCCGATTGTGTGCTTCTTAAAAGCCTCTTTGTTGATATGTCTTCTGATGTTTTCTGTTGTTTTTTTGAAAGGATATGTCAGCTAATGTGAAGGTGAGTGGACTTTTGTACCAATAAAGCTTTTGTCATAATGCCACCATCAGATACGGCAGCAGTGCACAGCACACTTTGCATCTTTACAAGCTAAATGCATTTTCTCCCATCTTATGTACTTAAATKACTGCTTGCTGCTTTCACCCTTTGAGAGAATCCATCCCCAGGAAAAATGTCTATACCTTTTTTTTCTCTTAAAAATACTGCATCTTTTTGGTAATGCTAAGAGTTAATAAGTGTATTTACGTAATACAAGCAAACTACAAAATATAACTACTTTAAACACTTTGGCAAAGACATTGTTTGTGGCAAACAAGTTTCTTTTTAGTTCTCTCATGACCCGACTAAAACTGTTTCAAAAGAATCTAACCCTGAATATTAATTAAAATTACCATCAATACATAAAGGCATTTTTTCAAAACTGTCAACAGTCTTACCCCACTCCTAAATGTTGCAGTAAATTGTAGCAATTTTCTTGTGGTGAAAATGTTAGAAAATGTTGTCTGTCTCTCTGAACTCAAAGGTCTTTTCACACACGAGTAGACACAAAAATCTTTTGTGTGTTCACATTTCTGCTCTGTGTTTATCACTGAGGCGCAGAGGTAAGAGTTTCTAATAAGATCCACAGATTTCCTTTGGGGGCAAAAACAACTAAAGTTGTGGCCTGAAGACTGTAGTGTAATGGAGTTGCAGCCAGATTGCAGTCAGTTTTTGTAAACCTTGTTAACCTTTGCCCTCCAACCTTAAAGAACAAACTATACTGGCCACAAAAACACAAAAGGCCTTTTCTGGGTGCAGTGATTGGTTTGTGTTCTGAGGTATAATAAATGTGGTAGTGTATATTCTGAGCTATTTGAAAGAACCTTCTGTAAATGTAGGTCTCATCTTTAGGTTCCAATAAACCACTCTCATTTTCATGTGATTTAACACCACTAAAATTGTATTGGGGTTGCTATTATGGGCTATCCAGTCCCTTTAGTTCCAAAGCGGAGACTGTGTCCACATTCTTGACACAAAGTCAAACTCGTTCTCAGCGCTTGTTGGACTTRGCCAGGGCTGTCCTGTCTCTAGTCTTGCTTGTTTATGGACAGGATCTGAAGGCACAGTTGTGGAGAGGAAGGTGTCTGGTTTGGGAACCACYGGTTTAGGGCTGCAACAACAAATCGATAAAATTGATAAAAATCAATTGTTAAAAGAGTTGGCAACGAATTTCATTATCGATTCATTGTGTTGCGGCATTTATGCGTGCATGTCACGGAGCCGATTATGTCACCCGCAGAGCGTTGTCAATGCTGGCTGACCTAAATAAAGTTTAGGAAGAAAGAAAAAAACTTTACCTGTAAAGATCCGCCCTTTCTGACTCTCGAGTGAAAAGCAGAGACTTCGAACTTTAAACCATTTTTTAAATTGTGTTGTTATGCCAAGTAGATCCAAAGTTATGATAAAAAGTATATGCCACAATTTATTCTTTTTAAAAGACGGTCTATTTGATGCGCGCTGCATCGTGGGGAGGAAATG